ATCACCTGGGGTCAGGAGTTTGAGACCAGCCTGGCCACATGGTGAAACCTTGTCTCTACTAAAAATACAAAAATTAACCAGGCATGCTAGCACATGCCTGTAATCCCAGCTACTCGGGAGGCTGAGACAGCAGAATCACTTGAACCCGGGAGGTGGAGGTTGCAGTGAGCCAAGATCACACCACTGCACTGCACTGCACTCCAGCTTGGGTGACAGAGCAAGACTCCGTCTCAAAAATAAATAAATAAAATAAAATCTTAAAGGTTTCCAAAAGGCAGAGTTAAAATTTAAAGAGAATAGCAGCCGGGCGCAGTAGCTCACGCCTGTAATCCCAACGCTTTGGGAGGCCCAGGTGGATGGATCACCTGAGGTCAGGAGTTCGCGACCAGCCTGGCCAACAAGACAAAACTCCATCTCAACTAAAAATACAATTAGCCAGGCGTGGTGGCGGGTGCCTGTAGTCCCAGTTTCTTGGGAGGCTGAGGCAGGAGAATTGCTTGAACCCAGGAGTCAGAGGTTGCAATGAGCTGAGATCATGCCATTGCACTCCAGCCTGGGTGACAGACAGACTCTGTCTGGGAAAAAAAAAAAAAAAATTTAAAGAGAATACCTTCCTGTTGGTCCCCAGCCCAGAGCTAAGCAGCTCCGTGAGTGACATTAAGCCAGATGAAGATGACATAGCAGAGCAAATGGCAACGCTATCTTCTAACCAGAATTGTCAGTAATCTACCTCCAGTCCTGCCAAAGCCCAGGAGGAGGCTTAATTGAAGAAGGGATGTTTGCAGGCCACAAATCGAAATGACATAAAGAATTATGAAAAACAGGCTGGGTGGAGTGGCTCATGCCTATAATCCCAGAACTTTGGGAAGCTGAGGCGAACAGATCACTTGAGGTCAGGAGTTCAAGACCAGCCTGGCTAATGTGGTGAAACCCCGCCTCTACTAAAAATACAAAAATTAGCCAGATGTGGTGGTGGATACCTGTAGTCCCATCTACTTGGAGGCTGAGGCAGAAGAATCACTTGAACCCGGGAGGTTGTAGTGAGCCAAGATCGAGCCATTGCACTCCAGCCTGGGCAACAGAGCGATAAAAAAAAAAAAAAAAAAAAAAGGAGGCCATACTTGGAATAATGGAACTTGTATGGAGGTGCTGAAAGATGGCCTTAGAGTAAGGGGTTAGGGGGACACATGGGAGGAGTCGCGATTGTATTGCACACAAAGGCTTTCTTCTCTGAGCTATGCCTTCCTCTTCCCACTCCTGAAATTTACCAGGAGTGGCGTGATGCAGGGTCTGGGCTTTCACTCCTCCACCAAGCAACACAGACTTCCAAGGGAATATGAGTTCCAGAGGGGAAAAGGGTGAGGAACCAAAGCTCTATATGAGAACAAACTATAGCAGAGGGAATGAAATTAATAAAGAACCCTCAAGGATATAAAGGAGAATACTGAAAACCTGAAGCAAACACAAGCAGTCCAAAGAAAAAACAGCCAGGTATATAGTGGCTTACACTTGTAATCCCAGCACTTTGGGAGGCCGAGGTGGGAGATCCCTTGAGCCCAGGAGTTCAAGACCATCCTGGGCAACATAGTGAGACCCACCCCCATCTCTCAAAAAAAAATTAAAAGTCAGCTGGGCATGGTGGTACACCCCTGTGGTCCCAGCTACTCAGAGGGCTGAAGTGAGAATCTCACTTTGAGCCCAGGAGGTCGAAGCTGCAGTGAGCCATGATCACACCACTGTACTCCAGCCTGGGCAACAGAGCAAGACCATGTCTCAAAAAAACAACCAAAAAAAGAAATTATAAAATCTAAATAAAGAACTCACTGGAGGGACTAGGCAGTAAAACAATACAAGCTGCGAAGAACTTAAGTGAGAGAATGTATCCATTTCAGAAGGTAACAGTAAGAGATAAAAAAGTGGAAAATATTAACATTTTAGAATTTAAAAAAATTAACATCTTATGATGGATAAAAGTAGATATGGTAACAGCTGTAAAACAACAGACTCATAGGAAAGACAGAAGGGAAGAAATATTTGGAAAAAATAATGACTGCATTTTACAAAGATCAAATGAAATATGTAAGAGTCCAAATAAAAGGGCTTGTATATGTTTGCCAGGGCTGCTGTGACACTGGGCCACGAACTGAGTGGCTTAAACAATCCAAATGTATAGCCTTATAGTTGCAGAGGTACAGGTTCAAGATCAAAGCATCAGCAGGGTTGGTTCCTTCTGTTTTTTTTGTTTGTTTGTTTGTTTTTTTGAGACAAGTCTCACTCTGTGACCCAGGTTACAGTGCAGTGGTTACAGTGCAGACCTCATCTCTATAAAAAAAATACAAAAATTAGCCAGGAGTGTTGACACACACCTGTAGTCCCAGCTCCTTGGGAGGCTGAGGTGGGAGAATTGCTTGAGGCCGATATTTGGAGACCAACTTGGGCAACATAGCGAGATGTCATCTCAACAAAAAAATATAGGCCGGGATTTGTTTTTGTACTGAGCCACCAAAATACAGGTGGCTCATGCCTGTAATCCCAGCACTTTGGGAGGCGGAGGCGGGTGGATCACCTGAAGTCAGGAGTTCAGACCAGCCTGGCCAACATGGCGAAACCTCGTTTCTTCGAAAAATACAAAAATTAGCCGGGCATGGTGGCAGATGCCTATAATCCCAGCTACTTGGGAGGCTGAGGCAGGAGAATCACTTGAACCCCGGGGGGCAGAGGTTGCAGTGAGCCGAGATCACACCACTGCACTCCAGCCTGGGCAAGAGTGAGACTTTGTCTCAAAAAAAAAAAAAAAGTTTACCCCACAAAAACCTTCAAAAATAATCCTGGAGGAAGTATTACAGCAAGAAGAGAAACAACTTTTGAGACACAGGAAATAACAGTGACTGCATTTCTATGATAAATAAATAATGCCCCCAAAAGGCATTCTTTATACAAAGCCAAAATCAGAAGTCTAAAAAATATCAATATGGCAGTTTCAGGGCAAAAGGAGGCAGAGGGGAGAATTTATGGGGTAGAATAAACACAAATTAGTCTGAACATGTTAGGAATAACTACCAGAAAAAAAATTTTTTAATGCATAATTTTCCAATCAGAAGTAGAAAATAATCAATGTATTCATGGAAGCAAGGGAAGGAGGAAAAAAAAGAGAGTATGGTAAATAAAAGACTGAAAAGAGACCAAAAAAAAAAAGTCTTTTGTTGTTGTTGCTGTAGAGATGGGATCTCGATCTGTTGCCCAGGCTGGAGTGCAGTGGCTCAGTCATAGCTCACTGCAACCTTGACCTTTTGGGTTCAAGCAATCCTCTCACCTCAGCTTCCCAAGGTGCTGGGATTACAGGCATGGGCCACTGCACCTAGCCAGGAAAATGCATTTAAACCTGGGCTTTAAAGAATTTCCTTAGGGCGGGCCGCAGTGACTCACACCTATAATCCCAACACTTTGGGAGGCCTAAGTGGGAAGATCAGGAGTTCCAGACCAGCCTGGCCAACATGGTGAAACCTTGTCTCTACTGAAAATACAAAAATTAGCTAGGCGTGGTGGCAGATGCCTGTAATCCCAGCTACCTGGGAGGCTAAGGCTGGAGAATCGCTTGACCCCGGGAGGGAGAGGTTGCAGTGAGCTCAGATTGTGCCACTGCACTCTAGCCTGGGCAATACAGTGAGACTCCATCTCAAAAAAAAAAAATCCTCATATAAAATCCCAAGGAACATAAGTTGATATTTTTTAAAATTACTAACAGGAAATAAACTACATAAGCAGAAGCAATAAGCCTCAGAATCAGACTCACAAATGGCACAGCCACTGGAATTATGCTGTATGGAATATAAAATAAATATATTAAATCTTTAAAAAAATGAATGGTGAATCTTTAAAAATACTGAAGGAAAAGCAGATTATTAAATTGTCAAGGAAGATTTGAAGAGGAAAAACTAAAAATTATATAAATGAAAATTTTAAAACCCAGTGAACAAATGAAATTGATTACAGCACAGCTAAAAAGAAAAGAAACTGACCAGGTGCGGTGGCTCACGCCTGTAATCCCAGCACTTTGGGAGGCCGAGGCGGGCGAATCACGAGGTCAGGAGATTGAGACCATCCTGGCTAACACAGTGAAACCCTGTCTCTACTAAAAAAAAATACGAAAAAAAAGAAAAATTAGCCGGGCGTGGTGGCGGGTGCCTATAGTCCCAGCTACCCGGGAGGCTGAGGCAGGAGAATGGTGTGAACCCAGGAGGCGGAGCTTGCAGTGAGAGGAGATCTCGCCACCGCACTCCAGCCTGGGTGACAGAGCGAGACTCCGTCTCAAAAAAAAAAAAAAGAAAGAAAAAGAAAAGAAACTAGGCACATATTGGAAGAAATTATACAGGGTGTGGCCAGGCACAGTGGTTCACACCTGTAATTCCAGCACTTTGGGAGCCTCAGGCAGGAGGATGACTTGAACCCAGGAGTTTGAGGCCAGCCTGGGCAACATAGCAAGACCTCATCTCTACTAAAAATTTTTAAAATAAGCCAGGTGTGGTGGCGTGTACCTGTGGTCTTAGCTACTGGAGAGGCTGAGGTGGGAGGATCACTTGAGCCTAGGAGGCAGAGGTTGCAGTGAGCCAAGATCACACCACTGCACTCCAGCCTGGGCAACAGAGTGAGACCTTGTCTCAAAGGAAAAAAAAAAAAAAAGAAGAAAGAAAAAAGAAGAAAAGAGAGAGATTGTTAGAAGATAGTATTAGGGAACCTAGCACTTGTAAGGAGAAAAGTAAAGTTAGTTCCCTACCTGTCCCCATAATACAAAGGTCAAATAAATGGGCTAGAAACCTAAATAAGAAAGGTAAAACCAGAAGGCTAGGACTGTGTGTTAATTTCCTAGGGCTGCCGTAAAGTACCACAAACTCGATGGCTTACCCCAACAGAAATCTATTTTCTCCCCATTCCTGGAAGCCAGTAGTCCAAACTCAAGGTGTCAGCAAGGCCACGTCCGCTCTGAACCCTGCAGGGGAATCCTTCCTCACCTGGTCTTAGCTTCTGATGATTTATTAGCAGTCTTTGGAGTCGCTTGGCTTATAGTTGCATAACTCTAATCTCTGCCTCTCTTGTCACATGGCATTCCCCGTTTGTGTGTGTGTGTGTGTGTGTGTGTGTGTGTGTGTGTGTGTCCTCACATGGCTATCTTCTTTTTATTTATTTATTTATTTATAGAGACGGGGTCTCACTGTGTTGCCCAGGCTGATCTTAAACTCCTGGGCTCAAGTGATTCTCCCACTTTAGCCTCCCAAAATGCTGGGATTACAGGCGTGAGCCTCCATGCCCGGCCATCCAAGGTTTTTTGTTTGGTTTTGTTTGTTTGTTCGGAGACAGAGTCTCACTCTGTCGCCCAGGGTGGAGTGCAGTGGCGCCATCTTGGCTCACGCATTCTCCTGCCTCAGCCTCCCACATAGCTAGGACTACAAGCTCCCGCCACCACGCCCAGCTAATTTTTTGTATTTTTAGTAGAGATGGAGTTTCACTGCGTTAGCCAAGATGGTCTCAATCTCCTGACTTCATGATCCGCCCACCTCGGCCTCCCAAAGTACTGGGATTACAGGTGTCAGCCACCGCGCCCAGCCCAGAGACAATCTGTTCTGCAGCCCATTTGCTTCTTCCAGAGTCTCCCTCTGTTGTCCGGGCTAGAGTACAGTGACTTGATCTCGGCTCACTGCAACCTCCGCCTCCCAGATTCAAGCGATTCTCCTGCCTCAGCCTCCTGAGTAGCTGAGATTACAGGTGCCCACCACCACCCCCAGCTAATTTTTGTATATTTAGTAGAGATGAGGTTTCACCATGTTGTCCAGGCTGGTCTCAAACTCCTGACCTCAGATGATTTGCCTGCCTCAGCCTCCCAAAGTGCTGTGATTTACAGTTGTGTGAGCCACTGCCCTCAGCCTCTATTTGCTTCTTTGAGATGAATCACCCCATAAATGATTGGTAAACGGAGTAATGATGTCAGCATAACACAAGCATGTTGGTTAACATGCAATTTTCTCCAGGAAGTTAACATTTTGAAGCAATCAGGGCCAAGCTTTCTCACAGTTAAAGGAGAAACCTTAGTACCAAAAGATCTTCAGAGGAAAAAGCTGCAAATGTACAGAAGTGTCTTCCTTTAGATCCACGGCGGCTGGTTTAGTGACTTCAAAGACCACCATGTTTGTCACAATGTTACGCATAGGGCAAAGCCATGAATGCAGATGAAGAAATTGCAAATATATTTCTCCCATATTAAAATAACAGATTAATGAAAAAGATCACACCTTGGATCACATTTTGAATTTTGATGAAAACAATCCCCATCAATAGTTAATATCTCCAGACCAGCATCCCCAAGGAGGAAGCACAAGCCCCAGCCTTCAAGGCTGCAAAGTGCTGCTGAAAGCAAATGCTCATGGAAATTTACCTATTCTACTGTTCCTATTAACATCATTATTGGTTTTGTAGCACTCTGAATATAAAGTTGTATCCAAGAGGCCAGGCACGGTGCCTCATACTTGTAATCCCAGCACTTTGGGAGGCTGAAGCAGGAGGATCACAAGGTCAGGAGATGGAGACTATCCTGGCGAACACTGTGAAACTCTGTCTCTACTAAAAATACAAAAATTAGCTGGGCACGGTGGTGCGCACCTGTAATTCCAGCTACTCGGGAGGCAGAGGCAGGAGAATCACTCTAGTCTGGCAACAGAGCGGGATTCCATCTCAAAAATAAAAA